GGGCCAGTTCTCTATCCACTGCCACCTTACCTTCCCCGGGCTGTTTTCTTTTCTGTCTTTCTAATCCCTCTGATTCCTTTGGAACTGGTTGAGGCTGAATCCTGGAAGCAGGAGGAGCATCGTCCCACGCCAGGGCCCTTTGGCCAAAGACATTCACCTTCGTCCTTCAGCTATAAAAAGCTGCTTCCTATGAGATGCTCCCAACCTCCTTGTGGGCAGTCTTTCATTACCCACGACCTTCAGAGAAAGGAGACATTGTTTTGACTAACAAACATGGGAATCCTGCCCAGGGTGGGCACACATGGGTTCGGGCCCTCCAGCAGCTTTCTATCAAAAGTGGAAAGTTTTGTAGTTGTGATCATTCCTCATTCTCTTCTTAATTAAATGTAATTTGGGGTAAGACCAGATAGTTCTGACTTGGACTTTCTGGGTTTGACAGGTGCTGGCCAGGTTGTGCCTCACAAGGTCATAGGATCACAGATTTTGACCGGGAAGTTTTATCTGACACCATCTGAGCCGACCCACTCATTTTACGTATGAGAAAACTGAGGCCCAGAGATTGTCTCAGAGGCAGGATTAAAATGCAGGGCCTCAGGAAGCCCAAACGCAGAGCAATGACTCTAACATAAGTGTGTTATATATATGCTACCTAAATAAAGCTGTTCTCACTTTTATCAATGACCCTGGGAGCCAATGCTGCTTTGAATTGTCCTTTCTTATGAGTGTAAGCTGTTCCTTGTAATAAACCAAAGGGATGCTGTAAGCCATTGAGCCCGGAGGGGCCTTAGAGATCTGATAATCCAGCCCCTTCATTGTCCAGAGAATGAAATGGAAACCCAGAGGATGGGGGTGCCATCATGCCCATGGTCTTTTGTTTTCTTTTCATCAATAAACATTCATTGAGTGCATATTAAGAGTGATGAGTTAGGTTTTCTTGGATAAATTATGTTTGGTTTTCTATGTGCACAAGGTAGATAATATTTTGTTTTGGCTTTTTTGTGCCTCTTCAAGGTAAGGGAAATATAAGGACAAATCCACCAAAGGCAGCCCCCACTCCAACATTGTCCTCAGTACTTTTGAGCAGTGTTCTGGGAACACATATCATACCCACAATCTTATGAATCACTGAGATTTTGTTTGTGATGTTCTAATCACGTGCCCTGCTGAGTTACTGACTTAGGTCCTGGTCTCAAATAATATTCCACAGAGAAGCATCTGGGAGGAGAGGGGTGTGATAATTAGCCAGTTTTTGTTCAATAAATACATACACAGGCCATCCAGGTTTATTCAGTGGAGCAGAATGGTTCTGATTGTTAATGGAGCTGTTGGTCACAGAAAGCTTTGACTTGGATGCATAGGACTACCCTAATTCTTACAAACGTTTATTCCCAGTGTTTTCCCAATATTAGTAACACTGAGCAGAGGCTGTAGCAGATTTCTTTCTGATAATGCCAATATCCATTGGAAAGGAGTGTATGTGTATTTGTGTGTGTTTGAGAGACAAAAGAGACAGAGGATGCAGAGAGGAAGCTGGGAAGGAAGGGGGCAGCGGAATCCTAGGTGTCAAGAAGATTTATCCTTAAGCTTCTTTTCCTCTTAGCAGGTCCCTCTGGGACCCACCCAGGTCACCTCAGTTGCTTGTCCCTCTCCCTCCAGCAAATGACTTCAAACCCACCCACAGGTGGCCTTGTGACAGAGGTTGCCTTTTGATCTTTGAGTAGCAAGTACCAGGCCCAGTGCTTGGCACATAGTTCTACCCCAGAAATACTTTTGGATTGGTTGGTTGGGCGGTTGGTGGAGAAAACCCTGGAGTGAGAAGCAAGAGGACTAACTCTTGTCTTGAATCTCTCAACAACTTGCTGTGTGACTGCTGTCAGTAGACTTTATCACCCAATGTTTATATCTGGCTTCAATTCATTGTGAAATAAGTCTCAGACTAGTAGAGGTTTTGAGAATTGTGATGGTGGGGTAGTGGTATGAAGCAATTATCATCATGACCTGGTGATTTGGGGCAATAAATTTTAGGGTTTGATGTAGTAGACAATAGTCTTGGCCCAATTATCAGCCACATCCTCTGCTGGCGTGTGCTGACCGGATCTCCCTGGGTGAGTCACTTCAGCTCTGTGTCTCTTAAACAACTCCCTATGGCTTACTTCCTACTTCCTAAAAGTTCTGTGGGCTAGTTTGTGGAGAAATTTTGATTAACGGACATTCCCTTCAGAAATCACTTTTTTTTTTACATCTTCACCAAACTTTTGGTTTTTATTGATGTCTGCCCCGCCATGATGAGATAATATTTTGTAAAGAACTTAGCACAGTACCTGACACATTAGGTGCCAAATAAATGCTTATTCTCTTCCCCTGCACATAAAAATGTATTCTTCTAGCATCCCTTTTGTCTCCTACATGAAGACTTTTCTGATTTCTCAATTACTAGTATCTCCTATCACTCCTCCTTCCTCCCAAAAATGACTAATTATTTAATTCTATGTTTACATGCACCCGCCCGCCCACCCAATCTGCAGAATGTAATTTTCTTTAAAGCAGGAGCCAGTTTATTTTTATCTTTCACGTATCTGGAATACAGTAAGCACTTAATAAATGTTGTTGATTCATTGTTTTAAAGTCAATTTATAGAACACAACAAAATCTGTAAAGGCCTCCTATCTTTAGCAAGTTCAGTGCCTGGCATAGCCTACCTTCCCAGACACATCTGTCCTCAAACAAATATCACCTGAGCCCCTGGATGCCATGAGATAATGGCAGACTTTGGGCATCAGTGACCTATTGCTAGCAGTCTGTTTTTGTGGGGGAACTTCCCAGGGTTCCTCACATTGCCGCATGTAGGTAGCCACTTAATACACACAACTATCTTGTTTGGTTGAGTGACTGCCCTTCTCTCTACACCCCTATTAATCAAAATGGTGAAATGAAAGCTGGTTGATAAGTGGGACCCAGGTTCATTGTGATGCTGTTGAAGATGCTTTAACCCTTTGTTCACCCTGTTATTGAGAATAACCGAGCCCTGGCTACCTTGACAGGATGCAAGTTAATTTACTCTCAAGATTCCTTCCTTTTGACTGCAATACAATGTAATTTCAACAGCACTGATCACCAGCTTAGATAGAATAACTTAATTAAAATGGCAGAGGAAGTTTATTAGAAGAGAAAAGAAATCCTGAATTGCATCCGGATATTGAAGCTAACTCATTTTGTGTGTGTTGTGTATCACTATACAAACCAATGGCTTTTAGAAGCCAGGCTTATGTTTTCCTTTCATGTAGAGAACAAGCCAGAAATAGAATTAATTCATACCCTTTCTGCCTTTCCAGGCTGGACAAAAGCTGGTTCTTTATGGTATTGTAAATATCCGACCTAAGTATGCTCTCAGCCCCTGTTTCCATCTGCAAAACATGTTGGAGACAACTCTTCTTGACTTACACTCTTCATCTGATTTGTTAATGGTGCAATGTCAGAGAGAGTTTTCTCAAACAGTATTCATGACTCAAGCAAGCAACTTTCTGATTTGCCTTGAATATTTTCAAGCCAATCAAATTTGTTTATCTTAATTCATACCTTTGTAGAAACCATAAACAATGTCCATGGTTACATCATAAACTATAAAACCAAGCAGTGGATGGGCAAGGTGGGACGTTGTCCAAATATCAGAGCACAATTTTGTTAGATCTTCCTTCTGCATGTTAAGGCTACAGTCACCCTTCTTATTTTGAGCTCTGTCTCAGCTCTTGATGGTTCATCGTTTTTACTTTTTTATCATTGAAGTAGTTGAATTATTTATTTAGTTAATCGTTTATTATATCATTTATTATTTATTAGTTGAGGTAGAATTAGAGGAAGAAAAACACATCCAGTTTGGAGGGAATTTTCAACTACTTCAAACTTGCATGGAGAATTAAGCATCCCTTTGCTATCTCTGGTGGGCACCAATCTCATCTAATGCATGTTGGGCCCACTCATTTGTGTTGTGTAAGTACAACCATTAACTTCTTCATTTTATTCACTAGACATGTCATGTCATCGTTGAATTGTATTTTCTGGGTTTATTCAAATATGCAATTTCATTACCCTATTTGTTTTACTCTTTCTATGAACTTTTGCTGTCCTCTTTTATCTGGAAGTAAATTAATAACTAAGCCTTCCACAGTGTTTTTTCCCACCACCACCCCCTGCCATCATTGCGGACATATTTGTGACTATAGTGTTTAATAAAGTGGGGATGAAAGTCCCAAAAGAGGTTCTGGCAGCTATCTGAGGTCAGCTAGAAGGGAGTTTACTGGGGAAGTGTCTTTTACTCTCTATCCATTTGAGCACGTGATGTGCCATTGGGAACTGGAAGCTGTGCTCTTAATGTCAAAGTCTTCCCTTTGCCAAGAGCTTAGGGACCCCATGAGCATCTCAAGTTTTTGGTTATATCTCTCTTCTGTAAGGGTCAGAGTAGTTTGTCTTCTGTTACTCTAGTGGGAAGGAGAGAACAATTTAAGAGCCTGGCTGTACTATTGGTGGTTATCTAATTGTTCCTCAGAACTGATTTCTAAAGAACTTAATTCTTTGTATTTAGTGATAATTTGTTAGGTGAAAATTTCTGCAATCCCCAGACCTCCATTTTCCATATGTATATTGACCCAGAGGTTTCCATATGTGGCTTCCCCTCCCTTAGACAATTCAGCGAATATTCATTTAACAACCTCCTCAAATACTTTTTAGAAATATGCTTGTCCATGTGCTTGGCTATAATTTGGAAAACAAGTTCAAATTTTGAAAGGGATGGAAATTACGGCTATTTTTGAAACAGAAAGAGTCTCAGGATTGAAAATCTGGCTTTTGTAAAACATTGAAAAAGATGTGCAAAAGTGAAGCATCTTAACCTGAGTTTGATCCTTTCCTGCCCTGTGGCATCTAGGAGCTAGGACTCTGGCTTTTAAATCTGTCATTTCTCTATGATAACAGTATTTAACTTCAGAATTGTTTTTCCCTCTTAGGATGCCTCCATCGCCCACAGATTCCACATCATGAGAGAGAAACACCCAGAGAAGTTCAACAGCCGGTAGGTGCCCAAATGGTGCTGAACTTTTGTGCACTGGTGAAGACACTAAGTGTCACAAATGCCTCTGCATGTTTGTGAATGAGGGAGGGGAGCTGGGTCTGTGTCTGTAAATGGATGGAAGAAGACAGTGATGCCTTTGATTTTCCTCTCATGTGAACGTCTTCATAATTGAGCAGCATGCCAAACTCTTCTGCTGTGGTTTGTGGGGCAGTAGGATATTGGGGGGAACTGGCAGAATGAGGAGGGGTCAGCATCCCCCTTTGTTGACAGATGCCCCCCTTTAAGGTGAAGATCTCATTGTTGATGGGAATGAGCCGCAGGGGCTTCTTTCCTGGACCCCGGGCTTTTCAGAGGAAATCGGAACTTTGTCTTTAGGATACAGGGAAGACATAGGCTCAGTCTCCTCCATGTCTCTTCTTTCCCAAGAAGAGAGCACTTTCCTGTCCATGCTGGGCAGAAGCAAGGAAGTTTGTCTCTTGTTTTAACCATCTCAGTTTATATCACTATCAGGGGCTCCTTTGTTATTTTCTGTAAAGTGTGAAAGTCTGTACCTATGCCTATACCTATATCTATATTTCTAGCTACAGAATCTTTAAACTGCGCTAAGCCTTTTGAGACATCTGGCATTTATACTGCTATTGATGGCTACAGACAGGGACACTATCTTTTGACACAGATACTACAGTGAATTTTGATATAAAGGGGAAATTTTAGTCCAGTGTCTGGATTCCCTTTGGGGGATGTTTTGGGGTGAGACATATCAGAGCCCTTTTCCCCTACCTGTAGCTGAGATGCCTGTGGTTGCTGATACTTGGGGCACATTTGGGGACATTTATCTGCAGTAATAGAGCACGACTGAGAATCCTTAACCAATCAATCTACCTACACGCTCTGTCATAGTGGCATCAGCATTCTTTGGTGCAGTTTACTCTCACATCTAAATAAATGAGATATAGAGGCTTTGCCTTTCATAGAAATATTACTATATGGCTTGGGCTGACACTTAACGAGTTTCTATGTGAGTTTCCTGTGGAATTTACCTGTGGAGGAAATTCTACAGAAAAGAAATGGAAGCTGTGGTGTCTTCAATTGGAAGAAACCAAACACAAAGGGATACTTGGAGCTCGTTTTCACATGTATCATCACTTTATGGGATGGCACACTGGTTTCCTGTTCGTCACAGTAAAATAATCCATGATATTTAAAAAGTTTTCACTTAGTCACTTGAATCAGGAACATTTGAAAACATTTGCTGAGGATATCATTTAGAATGTCTAATTGCCCATCTAGAAATGAAGTTTTGGCTTGGTAATACACCTCAGCTGTAGTGTAGGCACAGACCCCACTATCACTGAAAAGCAGTGGAATTGAGTAGAAGATAATTTGCTGCAGAGGCTGTCTGAGGATGCCAAGGGGCTGAACGGAGGGAGCTCCAGCTGCACATGGAGGTTTGGCCTGGACAGCAAGCCATGGCACCAAAGCTGACTGTATAGTGAATAGACTCAGCAAGTCACGTGTCTGAACATATGTGACAGCAAGTCATACAGAATGGCTCTGTGTACCCAGCGTGCTGGATCATTTGATTCTTAGATTTAAAGAATTTGAAAGTTGGAAAAGGGTCTCAGTGGCCATCCACCTCTAGTTATCAGGAAGTTTCCCCCAATATTCAGCCTCAGTTCATTCATTGCTCCTGGTTTTACCCTTTGGGGCCCTAGAACACATCTCTTCCATTATGTCTTCTCCCTTGTCATGCCCCCAAAATGCTCTATTCCAGTCCAATCCAAGCCAAACCAATCCAAGCAACGTTTATTAAGCACCTACTATGAGCCAGACTTGGGGCTAAGCACTGGGGACACGATGAATGAAAAGAAAGTCACTGCTGTCAAGGAGCCTGCAATCTAAAACGTACTCATTTCCTTTAATGTATCCTCATCTATCATGAATTTGAGGTCTTCGTGAACCTCTTCCTCCTGGGTGCCCTCTTCTGGACATTTTCTAGCTTATAAGCTGCCTCTTTCCATCGTGGTGCCCGTGACTGAACATAGTAAGACTCAAAAGGAGTCTGATGAGGTCAGAGTAGAATGGGATCATCATGTCTCTGTTCCTTGAAGATATAGCCCTCTCAATGCTGCCCACGATCTCATTACTTTGGGGGGCTAACTCCTCACTCTGCTGGCCTATGCTAAGTCTGTAGTTCACTAACACCCTTCAGATCTGTTTAGAACAGCTGCCTTCTGTCCAGGCCTCCTTTACCTTAAAAGTGGGAGCTGGATCTTCTCCACTAACCAGACAGACTTGAAATTCTTCCCTATTCATTTTCATCTTGTTAGAGTTAGCCTGATGATTTTACCTGTCAAGGTCTTTTGGAATCTTGACTTTGCCATTCATTGTGTAAGCTATGCCAGTGCTTAGCACGGTGCCTGGCACATAATAGGTTCTTCATGAATGTGGGTTGACCGACTGGTTATCCCTCCATTCAGTGTATAACTATAAAATTGACGTGTGAGATTGTCTCTATGTTCAGAGATGATGCTGATATGCTATCAAGAGTTAGAGCAAGTAGATTTCCATTCCCTTAAAGGAGGACAGCTCTTTATAAATATGAGTGCCGGCATGATTCTTTGTGCCCCTATCATTTAGTACTCAGTGGGTGCCTACTAGATATTTGTTGGATGGATGATGAATAAGAGTTTATGGTGAAGAGGCTTTGCAGGCAACAGATCTGGTAGGGGACCACATCTGACTCCTTACCGCCCAGGAGCTGGGGATAAGCCATTCTCTAGTGCCAGTAACCTTGCCACCAGCACCTAACTAATATGTGCTTAGAAGAATTATCTCAAGGTCAATCTTATTGAAGCATGTTTGATAGAGTTAGGCCATGAGGGAAATGCGAATTTGTAATATGTTATAATGATAATTGATATTTATAAAATAATTTAAATTTTTCTAAGCATGTTACACACAGTATCTGTTATGAACTTCACTCCCAATAACTTTGTGAGATAGGTAAAATGAGTATTTTGATGTTTATCTTACAGACTGGTCAACTGAGGCTCAGGATGGCCATGTGACTTCCCCATGATGTATGCTCCCTGCCTTCAAGGAACTTACACTCTAATAGGAGAGTCAGCACATAACTAACTGCATATATTCATGAGGGAATCTGGAAGCTAATATAGGAGGAAGGGGCTGGGGAATTTGGGAGCATGATGGGGAGGGTCCTTAGGAAGGTGATATGTGAACTGAGTCTTGGGGGCAACCAGAGAATCTGGGACATGGTAGTGAGGAGATGGTGTGCCTAGTTATGGATGACAATCAGTACAAATGGAAAGAGGGAGTGTCCTGTCTGAGGAGCCCCAAATGGGCCATTGTCAGTGGCCCACAGAGTGCTGAGCAGGGAATAAAGTGGGAGTAGAGGAGAAAGGCAGCTGCCATTGTAAAGGGCTTTAAATGCCCTGGAGGTGTTAGGGAGTTGCTGGAGTGTGATTAGTAGGGAAAGCAGGACGTGGTCAAACCTGTGCATTGGCAGAATCTCTTTGACAGCTAAGTGGAGAGAGAAGGTGAGAAGCCCAGTTAGATGGGAGTTAGAGCAGTCTGAGGGAGGAGACGTTGGTGGCTACTGGAGAGGAGGAAAGGGGACGTACATACGGCAGTTGTAGGTTCCTGTGACTTCCAGGATCAGATAGAAAATCCTCTCCTTGGCTAGAAAAGCTAGATCCTCCTTGGAGCTGCCTTTCTGGTGTTGTCGTTCCTTCCTCCCCTCCATGTCCTCTGTCATACAATGGCACTGGCCTTCTCACTGTAATTTGGACAAGGTGATCCATCTCCCACATCTATCTGCCTTTTCCCTGGCTGTCCTCCATGCCTGCAATGCTTTCTGTCCTTACCCCCAAAAGCAAGCTTCTGAGATTCAGCTCAACTCTCCCTTTCTGCAGGAAGCCTTTCCCAATTCACCCCAGTGCTAGGGCCTGCCCTCTGATGTTATCTCCTGCTTACACTGAGTGGATCTTGCATTACACTTTTTGTGTGTGGTTTTTTTTTTTGCATGTACACTTTTTCCATGTTTTCTCCCATTAGGATGTGACTTCCTTGAAAACAAGGATTCGTTTTGCTTTTCTTTGTATCTCTGGTGCTTAGCACTGTGCCTCACACATAGTAACCACTTGCTTTTATTATTGCAGACATAAAAATGACAAGATTTGACCACATTGTGTAGGTGGCATAAGAATGTGGAGTCAAGGATAACACAACGGTGGTGAGCCCCAGTGACTAGAAGGATCATGGTGCCCTTGAGGATAATAATGTACCTGGGCAAAACAGGATTTTGGAAGGAAGAAAATGAGTTCTCTTTTGGACATTATGAGTTTGAGATGCCTATAAGATATTGGCTTCAAGATATCTGAGAGGCAGTTGATGATGGCAAACTAGTGTTCAGGAAGAAGATTAGGGCTGGATCGTATAGATCTGAGAATCACTTGCATGGAAATAATTGAACCAATGGGACCTAATGAGATCACCAAGTGAGAACATATGCTGGGAAAAGAGACAAAGGTCCAGGACTGCCCTTGGGGGTCATTCATCCTTAGTAGGTTTCCCCTGAATAAAGATCAACCAGAGGAAACTGAAAAAGGAGTGGTTGAATAAGTAGTGGGAGATAAAGGGGAGAATAGCATCATGAAAACCTAGAGATGAAAGTTTCTAGGAAGAGAGAGTAATTGACATTGTCAGAGGGTGCAGAGGGGTCAGCCGAGATGATGATTGAGAAAAGGCCATTAAATGTATCAATTAAAGCATCACTGGTAATTTGGAGAGAGCAATTTCAATTAAATGCTGAGGTTGGAAGTAGATTGCCCAGGATTTGCAAGAGAATGAGAAGAAAGTTGAGGCAGTGAAGGCAGATAGTTTTCTCAAGGACGTGGGACATGAAACAGAGAAGAGATGTGGGATGAGAGCTAATAGCTTAGAACAATTGGATTAAATGAAGGGCTGTTTATTTACTT